TATCGTAGACATGAAAGATCTGAGCTTTTCGAAAAGTATCTAAAGCTTAAAAAAAAGCTTAAAAACTTACTAAAAGCAAAGAAACGAAATTACTGGCTTACTTTTATCGAGGGACTTTCTAGAGAAACCTCGATGACAACGCTTTGGAAAAAGACTCGCTATATGCGAAACCGCTCATCTTCCAATGAGAGTGAAGAATACTCCTCCCAAGGGATATTCGACTTCGCTAAAAAGGTTTGTCCAGATTCTGTTCCAGCACAACCAACTTTACGGGATACAGTCCGAAGTAACGGTTCTCTGGATGAACCATTCACAATACTGGAATTTTCAATGGCACTTCTTTCATCGAATAACTCTGCTCCGGGAAGCGATATGATCAAATTCGACCTTCTAAAAAACCTCCCCGATATCGCTAAAAGACGATTACTTAACCTATATAATTCATTTATGGAATTCAATATAGTTCCACCAGCATGGAGACAGGTTAAAGTAATAGCTATTCAAAAGCCTGGGAAACCAGCGTCTGATCACAATTCTTACCGTCCGATCTCTATGTTATCAGGCCTGAGGAAATTATTAGAAAAAAAATGATCCTATTAAGACTTGACCATTGGGTTGAATCAAACAATCTACTTTCAAATACGCAATTTGATTTCCGGAAGAGTAAAGGAACAAACGATTGTCTAGCGATGCTTTCATCTGATATTCAACTGGCCTTTGCGCACAAGGAGCAATTGGCTTCAGTCTTTTTGGATATTAAGGGCATTTGATTCGGTTTCCATAGACATACTGTCAGACAATTTGCACAGTAGTGGATTACCCGGTATTTTGAATAATTTCTTGTATAATTTGCTGTCAGAAAAACGAATGACCTTCAATCTAGGTCAACTGACAACTTCTAGAATTAGCTACATGGGCTTACCCCAAGGTTCATGTTTAAGTCCCTTACTTTATAATTTCTATGTCAAAGATATTGATAACTGCTTAGATAATCAATGCACGCTTAGACAGCTTGCAGATGATGCCGTGGTTTCCATGAGAGGTCCACGTGCAGAAATCTTGCAAAGACCATTGCAAAATTCCCTAAATAATCTGTCTCTCTGGGCAAGAAATTTAGGGATCGAGTTTTCACCGCAAAAAACTGAATTGGTAGTGTTTACAAGGAAGCGGTTTCCAGCCCAACTGCGTCTAAATATTTTGGGCAGACACATTACCCAATCTTTAACCTTCAAATACCTTGGAGTCTGGTTTGATTCAAAATGCACTTGGGGTACCTACATTACGTATTTGAAACAAAAGTGTCAACAAAGGATCAACTTTCTACGATCAATTTCCGGGACATGATGGGGTGCTCATCCGGAAGACCTCATTAAACTATATAAAACGACTATTCTTTCAGTTCTTGAGTATGGCCTTTTTGCTTCCTCTCGGCAAGAAAAAGCCACCTAATCAAATTGGAACGTATTCAATATCGTTGTTTACGTATTGCCCTTGGCTGTATGCATTCAAAACACAATATGAGTCTAGAGGTCCTAGCGGGCGTAAAACCCCTGCAGAACCGTTTCTGGGAGCTCTCATTAAGAATATTGATTAAATGTAGTGTCAGTAACAACCTTGTGATTGAAAACTTCGAAGAAATGCTTGAATTGAGCATCCAGTCTAGATTCGTGCGAACCTATCTTAATTATATGTCATCGGATATTAGCCTTCCTTGCTATAACCCCTCTCGTGTTTGCTTTACTAAGTACAGTACCCCCATTGACTATGATCTCTCCATGAAAGAGGCTATTCAAGGAGTTCCAGATCAACTTCGACCTATCTCAATTCCCCGCATTTTTGCTGAAAAGTACCAACAAGTCAATTGCAATAGAAGATTTTGCACTGATGGATCACGCATTGATGGATTCACTGGCTTCGGCGTCTTCAATGAATACTCAACCGCCTTTCGGAAACTTCAGGAACCTTGTTCCGTTTATGTTGCTGAGCTAGCGGCAATCAACTTCGCATTGGGGATGATTTCCGATGTGCCCATAGACCATTACTTCATCTTCTAGGATAGTCTCAATTCGATCGAGGCTATTCAATACAAGGTAGGCACTCATCAGATGAGTTTGCTGGTCGAAAGATCATATATGATTACCTCTGTATGGGTCCCCTCACATTGCTCAATCCCAGGCAATGAGAAGGCAGACTCTCTCGCAAAGGTGGGCGCACAACAAGGCGAGATTTATGATAGAAGAATTTCACATGATGATATTTTCCCATTAGTACGTCAGAGTTCTCTTTTAAATTCGCAAAACGATTGGACAAGTAATTCTCTTGGGTGGTGGTTACAATCAATTGTTCCAAATGTCTGGATGTAAGTCGGGGATTCATTCGAGTGATGTCAAGAGTTATGTCCAACCACTACTCGCTAGACGCACATCTCTATAGAATAAACCTCGTTGACAGCAATATATGCAGGTGCAGAACCGGTTATGATGACATCGATCACGCAGTTTGGTATTGCCCGGGTAATGACGCCTCCAGAGCACGACTATTTGATACCCTAGTGGCCCGAGGTAGACAACCCTTCCGTGAAGTAAGAGATGTATTGGGAACACGTGATCTTCCCTACATGCAAGCGATCTACGAATTCCTTTGTTTGTCTGATGTTAGAGTTTGATGTGACTATCCCCTCCTTTCCAAACAATTTCCCGCCATTGTGTCCCAGTCTTATTATCCTCCTGTTCCTGTGCTACTTGCCCCTGCCCAGCCAGGATTTGGTCAACCCTCCGAGAGTAGTATCTGAAGGAGGCTTCAGAAACCAGTTTCCTACCTAGATCCTTCCAATCGAAATTGTTACCCATTAACCTCAAGCCCGCCACGAGTAATTGGTACCCAATACTAACCTAGAAATACTGCTATTTAAAATGAAAATCAAAAATTACTGATTTTGGCTCCGCAAAGTGTCACACACGACTGAGCCTAGTAAGTAAACGAACTAGTTAAAAAAAAATGTGCCCATATGTCATCAGATACACTACAACCTGGTTTCATTGATCATAGCTTGTCATTTTGGCATAATATGATAACCGTTTGCCGGAATTCACAGATCCGCGTTCCGGATCCGATGCCAAACTGGCCAAAATCATCTCAAATCATCTTCATTCACTTGATTCTACCTATTTGCCATGATTTGACTTGCCCCAAGATACTTTTGCCTGAGATATTACTATGTCCTACAGTACCGATTTCCGGGACTCCCGGAACCGATAATATCGTAGCTATACGTTATGGAAATATCTAAAAACAGTCTTACTAAGCATATTTCATCTATCTGATATCATTTGCGGCACCAGACAACCGATTCGCGTGAAAATTTAAAACATTTGGTCAAACTGGTTAAAAAAGTTAAAAAACACAGACATATTTACATCTCCCAAGAACGAGGAGGGTTCAAGGGGGGTGGTACCTACGCCAAAAGTTAGTTCAACTATTGAATAAAAATCCAAGTTTATGAAAATCGGATGAGGCATTGCTGAGAACGAGTTTGTTGAAGAAAAACTTTTAACGTTGACTGAAGCTTAAGCAAACCTATAACCAACTAACCAACAGTTCAACAAGCTACCAAATTGTACAGCTTGCATACTTCTCATAATCTCAAAAAAGGAGGTATTAGTCATGACAGATAAACATTAGGAAAGACGGGCAGTTCGGCTTTGAAGTTCACCCACACACGTGCTCAATTTCCTTCCTCCAAATAGAGTGCTGCATGCGAAACGGGAAATGAATGAGCAATCACCGTATTATTCGTTCGTTTGAATTTCCATTGATCGTTTTACAGCGCTTACGGGTCTAAATTTAAACGACATTGCGCCCACCGCCACCAACGCAATGCGTATGCACTCGAAAAAATGTGAACTTTCTCTCCGATTCAAAGTGCATTGAGCGACCAAGTCGTGGTAGTGCCATAGCCATACACATGACTCGATTCTTATCTCTGATAACAATACACAGTCGGATACGAGTGGTAAGTAACGTTTATGTGACTTTTTGGTGAATTAAAAATACATTTCATCACTGAATGTTTCGGTGTCCTACAGGTGGTCTACATAATATAGACGGGCATTAATAGAAGAAATCAATTTATTTAATCATACATATGTTCAGCCAGACGAAGGGTGAAGGGTGGCGTAATGCGTCGTAGTGCCTCTGGCGCGTCAACAATGTAACACGTATTCAGTAGATGATTAGTCAACATGTTAATGATATTATAAAAGCGTTTTTTGGTCGACAGTGACTGTTTTAACATCATATGAAGCCTGAAATTAAACTGCGAGAAATTGATAACACACAATTTAATAATTTGATACATTTTCGTTCAATTCAAAGCAGTATCAGAGTTAAAGCTTTAAATAAGTTCAACATAGGACAGAAACGATATTGAATTCAACGTTAGCTCAAACGGTGAAGAAGCATTTTTCTATACACAACGAACCGATTTATTGCTCAATTTCATAACAATAATTGTACCTTACAACATCGACCGGCGCAGCGATGAGCTAATTCGGTGGGATGTTTATTTAACTTATAGACTCAAATGATTTCATCTTTTCTGCTTTTCAAACACTCAAACTAACACAGCAAAATCGAGAAGCGTCTCTGCCGTTTTTCCAGCTATGAGAAAATAAGGAACAGTTCTAAATTGCAATCCATCATAGGATATAGGAACGTACCCTTAAAATTACTGCTGCGTATCGCGATCAATAACGGAAAATTCTAGTAGAGCAGTGCAATGGATTGTGCCTTAATATCAAGTTTCTTTTCGGTAGACTTCAGCAATAAAAAAGACGATTCTTCCATTCTCAGCCAAGTTTTAATGTACACATTAATCGCCAAAGAGGTCAAACAAATGGCTACGTGTGACTCAACAGAATTATTAAGGCTAGCCGGCGTCTGCCATTTCTCCGAAAAGAGGCTTATGTTCACAAAAGTTCTTCAAGTTACATGTCACTTACCTCTCGGTGTTGCTCGTCACAGCTTTGATAATGCCAATGTTCTGATCTGGCGACTAATCACCTATGTTTGGATGTTTTTTCAGTTGCACAAAAAACTACCTTCTCACAGAATGCGGACCCTCTGCAGCGTTTGAAAGTGTACGACTGACTGAGCAGTGAAACTGTACCTTGCTGCCTCTATTCTATACATACAGTCAGCACTATAGTATACTGCAGCTCAGAGTGCGATGCCGGCCGGTTTCAACGAAATAACAACACGTCGTCGTCGCCACTCGCCACTGATGCAATCGAGGTATGTGTTCGCTTAATAGTTCTCGTTTGTATAGCCTACAAGTGAATTCATCCCTGCACTGTACACACAATACCTACATACAGAAATGTATTTTTTTCTCATCACATTCGATTCAAATACATACTGGAAGACACGCATTCTATCCCTTCAAGTGCAGCCTACGACCAACGCGTAAGTACCCGCATTAGGGTGGGTCAACTTTACAACCCCTGTTCCCCATTGCTCTTTCGATGTGTTTTGAGGTACCGAACAACTGTACCAAATTTGAACGAATTTTGACCAAACCTCGGACTTAGATTTGGAATACTATGTAGAACAACGGAACAACTTAGTTGAAAACCGTATTTTCCATTTTCCGATTCGACTTCTGTACAAAAAGTGACTTACCTTTTATTTTGGACTAAGTGCACCGCACATACCTACAAGCGTATATATACGCCTGTAGGTATGCGCGGAGCATTAGGCCTAAGTAAAATAATAATACCTTTTTGCCCAGCAGTCAAATCGACTTGCGATCTTCGACAAAGTTGTTCTACATAGTTTTCCTAATCTATGTTCAAAGTTTTGTTCAAATTTTAGGTGAATATTTTAGAATTTTTGACAAGCAAACGAAATCATCATGTTACCATGATTCTGCGTTAATTTTCCTTCAGATGTCACTGCTGTTCTTAATGATTTTTTTTCCTTGATTTGTTTTCCCGTCGATCTTGTTTTCCGTGCTGAGCACCAATGCTACCGACGCCAGGGAGGTAGCTCCCACACCTGGACCCTACCTATCGACCCATCAACTCATGAACCGGGGACCAACGGCTTTACTTCTCCGGAGGAAGGCGTGATCAGAGATGTTATGCCTCAGAACATCCCGGCGGCGCTGACTGAGATTGAACCCAGGCCTGCTGGGGTGAGAGGTAATCACGCTTACCACTACAACACAGACGCCGCTATATTCTTAATGATGACATCTATCAGAAATTACGCATACACTTAGTTCCGTTAATTGTTTACAGGGTGGCAGTGCGGTCCAAACATGTATGGCACCCAAGGGGATGGTCACGCGCCTTCATCTTTCTTTGTCGTGCAAGGGTTTCGTCGGCGATGTTAGTCGGACCCGAAGCCGAGTTTGTTCGGGTTTTATAGCATACACCTAACATCTCTATTCGAGGGGTATTAATACCACACAATTGGCACTGTTCGACACCCATAGTTACAATTTTTCTGATCTTTAAGATTACTGGCAACACTGAACTTTTTCTGCGCCTGTATCAAAATTTGTTATTGATGTTGCCACAATATAATCAAATTATCTTCAAAACACAACCGTGAATCTCCACCGAGTCTCGCCATGGATTCTCCTAAATCGAATTGTCAGCGCACATCCTGATGCCTGTCCGAAGAATTAGGAACATTATTTCACGCCGGACTGCGTACAATCAACACCCAGCATGAAGAAATCAGGGCAATCGCTTGCATAGCAACACTTCGTTATCAAAATCGTTTTATCCGTGACAGCTGTTGCGTCTTCCTCTCAGACGAAGAACAGCTGACAGCGGTATCTTGACCTGACCGAGGGTTCCGGCCACGGCTACAAGAACTAGCGATGCCCACGGCTGCGGCTGCCTCTAATGCTGCTGCTGCTGCTGCTGCTGCTGGTCCGTCTCCTGCAACATTATTTTTCGAATTTTAGAGAAGACGGACCGCAGGAGCACCATTGAGAGCAGCCGCAGCCGTGGGAGCTGCATCACTAATTCGTGTAGCTGTGGCCGACGCTGGAAATCTCGGTCCGGTCACGACAAGCGGTGCTTGAGTTTTAATCGGAAAGTCAACAACCAAACGGAAACTATACCATCCGACCATTCGAACTGCTCGAATACATCCATAGACGAGTGCACGGATGGATTTGAGTTCACTCACTCGACAAAAAGTGACACAACAGCGGGGCCCTGTTTACTAAAAATGAACACATGAATAATACTCGCATAACATTTGAAACGGGCCTATCAACTTTTGTACACAAAACTTATTAAGTCCTCTTCGCGCGAACCGAATACGCCCACGCAAACTAACAACACCATCGGGTAGGAGAAATTCTTCCCTTCCCGATAGTGCTCTTGGTTTGCGTGGGCGTACTTCGGTTCTCGTGAAAATAACCTAGAAAGTTGTTTACAACAAGCAAGCAATCCAAGACAAGCTGTGGGCACTCAACCTAAAAACGAATGCTCACGGACATCCATTGCGCTACAAGGCAAGGTTGGTAGCTAAGTGCTACGCACAACAAAGACACGGGCATTACGAAGAAACCTTCACACGGTTGACTACCATCAGAACCCTATTGGCACTCGGAACGACGAATGAAATGGAGATTCACCAGCTAGATGTCAAGACCGCTTTTCTAAATGGAAAGCTGGACTAGAAGGTATACATGCAATGTCCAGCGGTCACTTTATGATCTGAAGCAGTCACCAAGGTGCTGGAACAGTCATTGGATTCACGCGGTCACAGCATGACTACTGTTTGTATGTCCACGCCCGTATACATCGTTGTATACGTAGACGATCTTCTCATTGCTGCTAAAACGGAGGCGGCCATCAATAATGTAAAACACAACCTGATGAAGACATTCGAGATGACGGACATGAAGAATATCCACTATTTCCTTGGAATCAAAATGGACAGGGATTGGGATCGTGAATTGAAGAAGCTATCCCAGAAGGATCAGATCGAGAGGGTTTGGAATGGAGAACTGTAATCCTGCTAAAACGGCAGCTGAACTGAAGCTGCAGTTGCAGCGAGCAACTAGAAGATGTGAGTTTCCCTACCGTGAACTCATCGGAAGCCTCATATGTACCTCATGATGGGCTCCTGATCGGACTTGTGCTTTATCATTGGATACTTGGCAAGATTCTAGGATGCTGCTGGTGAAGAGCATTGGAAGCATGCTAAACGAGTCTTACGATACCTGCAAGATACGAAAGAGATGGGATTAGTCTACAGAAAAAAGCCAAAGGAACCACCAGAAACCACCTACGTGGACGCCGATTTTGCAAGTGACGAAACCGACCGAAAATGTGTTTCCGGGTTTTTGCTGAACATTCATGGAAACATTATCGCCTGGTCCTCGAAGAAGCAGACTACAGTTGCAATGTCTTATACAGAAGCCGAGTATGTTGCCATGAGTTCTTGCGTAAGTGAGACAATATGGTTGACCGGATTGATGCCTGATCTTCAAGAAATTGGGTGGATGAAGAATGGAACTGATTGTGGAAAAGTGTTAAAGAAATTAGTAGCTTTATTTGCTAGATATGGTCTGCCAGACGTTTTAGTTTCTGACGGGGGTCCTCTATTCAATGCTTTCGCGTTTGTTGACTTTTTGAAGCGGCAGGGAATTATTGTTCTAAAAAGTCCACCTTACAATCCTTCCAGCAATGGCCAGGCTGAAAGGTTGGTGAGAACCGTAAAAGATGTATTAAAGAAGTTCCTTCTAGATCCGGAGTTTTCGCATTTAGACTTGGAGGACCAGATTAATCTTTTCTTAATTATTTATAGAAACAACTGTCTAACAATTGATAGGAATTTTCCATCGCAAATCATATTCTCATACAAACCAAAAACAATTTTAGATTTGCTAAATCCCAAGAACCATTATAAAAGACACTTGCATATGGAAACCTCGCATGATATGAATATTACTAATAAATAACAACTCTTACCTATTCATGACGATGTCAACTCAAAGGATTGCGGGAATGTCCCGAAAGTTATAAAATATCCTTTCGAATATCTGATGGAAGGGGATGAGTTGTGGAATAAAAACCACAACCCCCATCATACTGCTAGATGGCTTAAGGCAAATTATATTAAAAGGCATTCTCGCAATACTTTCCAGATTCGAATTGGAAACGTGCCAACAATGGCGCATCGAGGACGGCTTCGCATATGTAAGGATCGGGACTTCTCTGGGAAGCCATATGTTTTGTTAAGTCGACGACAACTGCAGCCCGAGTCAAGTGACAGCAACGAGGCATTCCATGGTTTTACTGAAGAAGAAGTCAGAAGAGACAGGAAACGTAAATACGTGTTCGAGAATTTGGAAAATGATGTTGAAAAGTCAACAGATTTCACCCCTAGGCGTTCTAAATGAATAATAAAAGCTAACATTGATGAAGAGTTTGTATATTTATTTGTAATTATTTGTTTACGTTCTGATTTGCATTGTATGAAGCTTTGAAAAAGAAAATTATATGAAATTGTTGTAGTAGTGAATTGGATTGTAAATGATTTCTGAAGAGGGAAGAGCTGATGTGTTCTGATTTAGAGTGCAAACGATAAAACGACCAGATCGACGTCGACAAGGTCTGATCGTATGAAAAATAAAGAGGAAGAGCATTCCAGTCTGAAACATCGTCGAAGCAGAAAAGTTTTTTTAATTTTCCTCCGTAAATTCCCTGTTTTCTCCAATAGAATAGGATACAAAGGAAAGGAAGATCAAGTACCATTCTCTCAGCACTCTATTCGGAGCGACCTGGATTTTGTTCATATGAGTCTGTGCCGGAGCGGCGTACAGGATCGCAGGTGCTATGATTTTTTTTCCTCTGTTCGGGACCTAACACTACTGCGACCAGTAAATTGATCTATTGTAGTATATCCCGTGTCCTTAGTTTAGTGCATGTCGTATTACCAACAATCAATACGAAACTAACGATTTTAAATTGGCTCACTACTTGACTAGCCTATTGGTCCCAAGCAAACGATTAACGGACCCCATTCTAGTACTACACAATGGTTGTTTTGATTCGCTATGAAAGTACCAGAGTTGAGCCAAAAAGTTGAGCACGTTATTTCGGGACCTTCTAGTCTTAGAGTTACCTCTATGGTATTACT